AGTGGCGCTGGTTGTGTTGGCCGCTTCGAGTACGGTATCGGGAGATCCTTATAATTACTCTTCTCCGCCTCCACCTTACTTCTATAACTCTCCTCCACCGCCTTCACCGTCTCCTCCGCCACCGTACTATTACAAGTCACCCCCTCCACCATCTCCATCACCTCCACCACCGTACTATTACAACTCTCCGCCACCGCCCTCGCCCTCACCCCCACCACCATACTATTACAAGTCTCCCCCTCCACCATCTCCATCACCACCACCACCATACTACTACAAGTCTCCTCCTCCACCATCTCCATCACCTCCACCGCCATACTACTACAAGTCTCCTCCTCCACCATCTCCGTCACCTCCACCGCCTTACTATTACAAGTCTCCCCCTCCACCGTCTCCGTCACCTCCACCACCCTACTATTATAAATCTCCACCACCACCTTCGCCATCACCTCCACCACCGTACTATTATAAGTCTCCCCCACCGCCCTCCCCATCACTTCCACCACCGTACTATTATAAATCTCCACCACCTCCATCGCCTTCTCCGCCACCACCTTACTACTATAAGTCTCCACCACCACCTTCACCGTCTCCTCCGCCACCATACTACTACCATTCTCCTCCCCCGCCAACGAAATCACCTCCGCCTCCGTACTACTATAAGTCACCACCACCACCAGCAAAATCTCCTCCGCCACCGTACTATTACAAGTCCCCACCGCCACCGGTTAAATCTCCTCCTCCACCGTACTACTACACATCGCCGCCGCCGCCACCTACACATCACTACCCTCCACATCATCATCATCATGGTTTAGTTGTTAAGGTTGTCGGGAAGGTTTACTGCATCAGGTGTTATGACTGGAAAAAGCCTGAGAAATCCCACGACAAGAAACACCTCAAAGGTAAATAAAGTTGGTCATATTTTTGTCATCTTAGCTTCTTTGTCACTGAGTAAAGTTTACGGTTTCGTTTTTTTACGTGAATACAAAATGAATACTGTTACTTGTTAGTGCCCAATTTCGAAAAAAATTAGACCTCTTTTTTCAAAATATTTTTTTATTAAGTGCAACCACTACAAATAGTATATAATGCAAAAAATATTGAAAAATCAAGATAATTTTATTATTCCCTCACCTCCCACTTGGATTTTAAAATGTTCCTCTTTTGATTTTGTGTAAGAATAAGAAAGTATTAAATTGTAGTTGACTTCCAATTTTGCCCTTGATATGATGGATAAAAGTAAGATGTAATGGATTGAGTATTAGAGAAAAAGTATGATGTGGTATGGTATGAAAAAATAAGGGTAAAAGTGGTTTTTTAATAGAAAGTGGAAGTGTTTTGTTGAAAGTAAAAAATATAAAAGAGGAAGAGTTTTTGAGAACGGAGGAAGTATTTGTTAGAATATACGGAGTAAAAGCTTTTTGTGTGCCGACTATTATTATAAACTTTAGCTTTTAATTGAATTTGTTTGTACGTTGACATTTAATGGACATAGTGGTAGTAGCATCATTATTTATGGTCAAAGTATATTTTTTTCTTACATATTTTAAGCGATCATGTGATAAAGTAAAATTGTTAAGTGTTTGAGCATTGAAAAACTTTTTTTTGGTTATAACCACAAAGCTTAAGATTTTGGTTGGGTTGATTCCTTAACATGGTACTAGAGTCTTATTGTTCAAGAGGTTACGACTTCAAAAATCACAGCTGTTCAACCACAAAGTCTTATTTAAAAATAACTTTAGTCAAACCTAATACACTGTTAATGAAAAAAATCAAGGAAGGAGAGATTATTATTTATCAAATAATTGAAAGAAAAAGTGATGAATATATTATTACGGAGTAGACTTTATGTTAGTTTATAAAGTAGTGTAGACAGTACGGAGTATTATTCAACAACGAATAATAAATTTAAATTAATTTTAATAACCTAATAGTTTATTCACTTTTTGTTTAAGATCTTGTTTGGGAACAACATTTTTGATGAATGTTAGCATTTTGAATAAAATTTTAATAGTGTAGATTAAATCTGAAAACGTTAACAATAAAGGTAATTATCGTTGGATAGACTTTTCAAAATTGTAATGCTAACTTTTAAAGCTGATGTCAAACGGGGCTAAGTCTAACCATGCCTTATATTCAAATGAAAGAAGTAATAGAGCTAGTGTAGTAATTTTAACTAAGATATGAAGATGAGAGTCTGCACTCTAAAAATTAAAATATAAAGTTCGAGAATTGAAACTTTTAATTGATAACTAGAATTTAAATAAACAAAATATAATATTAAAAAGAATAAGTCATACAAAAATTATTTGATCCTTTATTGCAAGTGATTATGATGTATTTTAGAGTAATTTAATTATGATTATCACAAGTAATGTTTGAAATGAGTGAGCACAAATCTTATCTATGCCTATATTTGGATACTGAAAGTCAAGTTTCATTATTAGGCCCCTCACTCACCTCCAAAACTTAACTAGATGAAAAATAAAATGGGAGGATAAGACAATAAGATAATGGTCGATTCAATAGAAAAACTTCACCTACATACTCCCTGCTAAGAGTAAAAATAATTTCTTCCTAAAATACCCTTATTTTTAGCATCTCCTCACCAATTATCTTTGTTTAATTTGTTTAATTTCTAAAAAAATTAATTTTATGCAAGATATGTCGGGAATATTTTATTTTATTAGATATTATACATTAAAACATACAAATAAGCAAAATATACTCCCTTCGTCTTATAATAATTAAATTATTATTTGATTTTTCACGGTCTCCAATGCAATATTTTGACCATTAATATCTCTGTTTTTATAAAAACATATATTATAAAAATAATATATTTCAATACTATATTACAAAATGAATCTACAATAATAAATTTGTATGAATATTGAATATATTTTTTTTAAGTATGAGGTCAAAATTTAAAAAATTTATTTATAAAAATCAAAATGAGAAATTAATTTTAGAATGAAGGGAGTATTAAGAAACTAATATACTCCGTATATACTCCGTAGTATATTTCATTCCTTTTAAAAAAAAATAATGAAAAACAAAGTGATAACTAAAATTCAAAGGGAGGACTTGGTGTGCTGTAACAAATGACAATTGACAAGGCAGAAAGTAGCCAATAATGCAATTTAATGATGAAATAATGGACTACTATACGTGAGAGAATAATCTAGTCAACCGTGGATAACGTTGACTAAAGTTTTTAAGACGTAACATACTCTCTCTCCTATTAATCCTATTACTCTCTCCGTTTCTCAAAATGGTTCCTCTTTTAATTTTAGGGAAAAATAAGGAAGTGTTAAATTATAGTTGACTTTCCAATTTTACCCTTGATGTGATGGGTAAAAGTAAGATGTGATAGTTTAGTTGTTAGTGAAAAAGTATGATGTGATAGGTAGGGTATGAAAAAGTAGGGGTAAAAGTGGTTTTTTAATAGAAAAAGGAAGCGTTTTAAGAAAAACAAAAAAAATGAAAGAGGAAGAATTTTAAGAAACGGAGATAGTAATATTTTTACCATACTACGTATGAGTATTTTTTAAAAACATTTAATTAAATTTTAATATGATTAAAATAATTTGTATATTTAAAAATGTATAAAAAAATTATAGAATAAGAATGAAATGATTTCATGTTAGAGGGTATCTCATAAATGAGTTTACAAACTCTTAAGTTGAGTTACATTAAATAATTGATTGGATTACCTCACAAAAAATTAATCCACTGGATATAATCTTTTACTTGATTCAGATTAAATGTCTTATGATCCAATTCAATAACCCTTTATCTATCCTAAACTCTATCATGGTAATCCTTAACCCCTAATTCATTATTTTATCAAGTGATAAATGAAAAATATGCTCGTATAAAAAATGAAGAAAATAGTCTGGTTCTGAATAATTAATATTCCCTCCATATTAAAATGATCTTCTAAGTTCGGTTTACGAGGTTTGACTCAACTTATTTTCATTCAATTTATTTAGTTATAGGTGTAAAATTAAAAATTAAAAATTATATATTTTAAAACTACATCAAAAGTTTTACAAAACAATGAGTGACATGATTATATTACTTTATCAAATAACTAACGAAAATAAGTATTAAAAAAAGTTTGACCATCTAAATCGTGACTGAGAAGATCATTTTAGGACAATGGAGTAAGCATAAAGAGGGAGCATTTAATATTACTTTTACCCCAAATTAAATTCATGTTTCAGTTTAAAATGTTTGGTTTAAATTATTTTCAATTTAATTTATTTGAGAATTTTTCTGAATATAAAAAATAAGATTCACATATTTGAAAATACATCAAAGTTTTACAAATTAAAAAGTGATATTACTATATGACTTTATCAAATAATTAACAAAAAAAATAAAGAAAGAAAGAACATGAAGTTTGAAAATAGTTCGTTATCAAACGTTTTGAATAGTCACTAGTTGTGTATTTATGTGTGTGTTGAAAATAAAGAGCTCTATTATTATGGGGGTGCACGTAGGTGCGGTTGTTGAAGTAACATGCAAGGCTGGCGAGAAGGAAGTTAAGGCGTACGGAACCACAAAAATCAACGGGAAATTCAGTATCCCCGTGGACGGTTTGGAGTATGGGAAACACGGAGCCAAGGGATGCCTGGCGAGGCTGCACGCCCCGCCGAGGCATTCAAAATGCAGCATTCCCACGGGTCTTCATCGGGGGGACAAAGGGGCGGAGCTCAAAGTGAAGTCCAAGACGGAGTACGAGGTGGTCCTGTATGCAAAGCCATTTGCTTATGCTCCAAAGAAGGGGTATTATGAGGAGGAGTGTGAGAAGTTGAAGCCCCCCAAACCCACCCCCAAGCCTTACTACTACAAGTCACCACCCCCTCCGTCCCCGTCTCCTCC